AAAAAAAGAATATCGAATCACTATGTTGTACACCTGAAACTAATATAATAATGTATGTCAAATATAACTCAACTTTAAAAAATTGTTTTATCTTAAAAAAAAAAAAAAGGCAGTCGAGGGTAGAATGGATTCCACAAACACCTCTGAGTCAATGCATCTGAAGGTGTTACATCTGAATCGCTTCTCTCGGTGGGGTAAAGCAAACTGCACAGAACATCCCAAGGTATGTTCCCTAGAACACTCATCCTGTGAGAACCTCCTGCACCCTCTGCGGAGCCTGTGGCCAAATGGGGAATTACTGCAAAGGACCTCCTCCCTTTTGATGAGTCAGAACACACATTCATATGACCAAGTCCTGCCAAGATACCTAATTTCACTTTGACCATGGAATTTATTGCATATGTAACAACTGTTAACAACTCTTGGAAATAATATTTTATGGAAAACATTGAAGCAACATCAGCCCAGACATTTTTTCCCCTCAAATCTCCTTACTCAGAAAACAAAACTTCTAGAAAGAAAATGGTTGTAGAATAACGTAAGTAGCTAGTTATTGTCAAGCACTTACTTTTCCAGATGCCGGCTTCTGTTTTCCTGCCTTATGTACTGCATTTTATCATAATAGTGTGGGGAACAATATTATCATTCCCATTTGACAGAGGAGGAGACTAAAGTTCAGGGAGGACCCTGAATGTTGGCATGGCACTGGGCTGTCCTCAGCCCCACCGGTCACCCAGCCATATATTTGCCCTGGGCTTTAAATAAAGTGGCCCAGATCTACCTCTCTAGCCCTGACCACTCCTCGGAATAGAAGCTTGATCTACTGATTCTCATGTAAGCTAACCTCATTTAACCTCTCACTTAACTGACCCACATTATTCCTCATCTGTTTCTTCCCTTATTCAAAATACAATATATTGGGGTGCTCTAGATCATGAGGAAAAAGGCTTATCGGTCCTTTAGAGTAACATAGCCCTGAGCCTCATGAGCCACAAAACTTTGTCTTAAATACACTGCTGCTCCAGTAAGCTCAGAAAATAGTCTGAGACAATCTGAACGTCCCACACAAGAATTCCATTCGTCACCCATCCCATGAACCCCAGGTTTTAAAAACATGTTGTCTAACCAACAGATTGCATGTATAATAACTGAATGCATTGATTTTCACTTTGTAACTCATCTAAGTAATATGACGGATACATGTTGCTTCAGGTACAGTCTCTGCAATGAGAATCAGACAAGAGCTTCTTATCGTTCCTAAGCAAGCAATGACAGGGCGTGGGTGTGCCAGTCTCCTTCCCAACTCTTCCCTGCAGGTTTTATAAAGTTCCAAAAACCCACTCTTAATCCCTAAGCATGTCACTTCCACACTGAAGGACCTCTTTATGACCATGCCTTTTTTTCTAAGGGTAAAATAGAACCTGTTGAAGGACCTTCAAGATTCATATCCTGACATATTGTGACAGATTTTTCCGTAGGTCTCCAGCTGATTGAGGTGAGGTGTTGTTTCCATCATAATTACAAGGCAGTGTTTTCTTCCATTTGGATCATACTCTCAGCAATTTCTGCACTGAAGCCACCTTAAAAATCCAAACCTGATATAAATAACAAAAGGCTACTAGGCTATATTGACTTAACTCACCGTTCGGTATAATTAACACTCTCAAAAGAAAATAAATCTGAAAAAGAAATCAAACAAGTGGTAAGGTTTTCTGTTATGATGAGGTATCTCCCCTGGGGTCCTAATACTCTTTCAGGGCATTTCTTGTTCCTTTGATTTAATTTAAACCAGTGAGCCAGATCTTTCCCAAAGGGCAAATTAAGAAGGTCTGTTAACTCTTTCAGTGCCCCGCTTCAAGAAATCCCTAGCAAGGCCATTAGCATTGTTTTGCCTTAGGCTTTACACTTTCTAAAAGTCAGCTGTCATATTCGGAGCAATCCAAAATAGCACACTCAACAAAACCCTGGAGCTTTGGAAATGTTAATGCCCTCCGTCAGCAATGACCTTGCCACTGGGAAGTGATTTAGGCACCAGGGAGGAAAGGGCCCACTATCTTTATCACGCTGGTTTACACCATCAACTTCAGAAACTGTGTGAGAGAAGAACAATCAATAGTGTGTTAAGACCAATCTCGAAGAACGCCAAGACGAAATGCTCCTGCTCTGCAAAATGCTGAGTTGAAGGAGTACTTTTGGATACGACCAAAGAGAAATTAGCTGGAGTGGTAACACCGAATGAATTGTGTCTCGAGATGGAATTTGTCATTGGAAATGGCACTCTGAGAGCTCTCTGTGTATTTTGGTGGAATCCCATAACGTGCCTGATGAAAAATGCTTGTTTTAGAGTAAAGCAGATTCAAATAACAAAACCCAAAGGCATGCATGCATTCTAAACACACACACACAGGTTAAGAATTAGCTGACACATATAGTCCCAGAAAGTTAACCAAAGTAAGTAGCTAAGAAGTAGAATCACCTGTGGAAAAATGGAAGGAACGTCAAGTTCAACTTCATCAAAACTTCCTGAAAATGTCACTAGAGTTTCTGTCATTCTAGTAAAGGTATTATCTCTTGATAACCAGCGGAGAGTAGGAAGCTTCTAAAAACAGCCGAGGCAGTGTCCCCACCGCACCCTGAGTTGAAATCACTGGAAAAGAGCTGGCTGCTCGATCCCTAAGATCATTACACCGAAATCTGTGGTTTCCCACGGCAAACCTAACTGTGACACCAACAGCTATAAACAACAAAATTAGACGGAACTGTCCTTATAGGGAGTTTTCACCACATTGGCTTGTCCTGTGTCCACACCTTTGCTCCAAAGAGTGTTTTCAAAGAACTCTTCCAGTGCAGGTGTTCCTTATTCACACTACAGGGCAGGGCCACTCAGGTGCTTTGGCCTTAGATGCTAGACACAAAATAACATTTGTCACGGTAACAGGAATCCCACACGGGTATTTACTGAATGCCAAATTCAAGTACATGAAAATGTCTCGGTCATGTTCATTTGTCCCGACATCATCCTGTGACGTAGCTATAACGATTCCTATTTTTAATACAGTTGATGTTCATTATTTATGGTAGTTATGTTTCATAAAGTGGCTGCAAATACTGAATTAGCAAATACTGAACTGCAGGAAAGACAGGGCTAGGTTCCTGCAAGCTTTTAGCCACCTTTTGGTCAACCAACCAATAGGCAACCTATGTGTATTTCTTCTTAAAGACACTTTATTTAGTATATACTGTTGATTCATTAACATTGAACTCAGGGCCAAGTGCACCAGAACTTCTGCCTGAACAAGGTTTATCTAACACACATATTTTCTCCCTAAGGCACATCACACACAGCCCCTTGGGCTCGGGAACACCAGATAGCACTTTAGCCCTGAATTTGGGGGCCATCTTAAACAGGGAAATTGCCAAGTAAAAGGACAAGAATGTGAAAAACAGGGCACTAAAGACGCCACAGAAAGGACACTTGATTTCAGCATGTGAGCTGAAACAAGAAGGCAGAGCATCACTTTGTTCAGCTTCAGCTGGGAACATGCATGTAGGGCCTCTCAACCCATGTCCACAGAAGTGCGTGACTAATGATTTGGGGCTTGCAAAGTAATTTTAGCGAGTAGGCAAATTCGCAAATACAGAATCTGCAAATAATGAGGACTGAATATATATGTTTGAAAATAAGAATCAGGGCATGCAGTCAGGCATGCACCCCACATCTGTCTAGTCAGTCCTCCTGTTATATTAGCGGTTGTCGTCATTTAAATTTAGAGATTAGAGTTTATTGGAGGTAGGAGTCCCAGGAAAAATGGGAAAGCCATTGCCCGGCATGCTTCTGCACCAGGATCTTAGGAAGAAACTCACTGTGTAACTTTCTTGACCTTTCAATGGTTCTTCCAGGTCTTTCAGGGGTGTGGCCAACCCAAACCTGCTCCAGCCCTCCGATCTGCTCGCTCAGCTCCTGAAAATTTTAATACGCGGTTCAGGCCTTACAATCCTGAGGAGAGACCCACAACTGCTGCAGGCACGAGCTTGGACCGGCTGGTGAGTTCTCTCGGATTGATGGCCACTGTGGGCACTTTCTGTTACCAAGGTTATTCTTCAGGGGACGTGATGGGACTCCGAAAAAGTTGGTTGTAAAAGTCATCTCATTCTTATATCTGCTCCTGGTCTTAATTAGAATATTGAAAAATAATGAGATCTTCCTTTTAGGTCATGAATTAGATTATTTAAGGAGTCTTATCCTATTAATCCACTCATGCAGTGGCCAAATTTTCAACTTCATATTTCTTCTGAAATATTAATCTGAAGACTAAGTTACTATATCTTCCAGAGATATAATTACAATAGCGCATTTCTTACTCACCTGCTTCTGTTATTTATTCAGTTATGATACAGTGTAATTTTATTATGCCCTCTTGTGTATAAAGTTTTCTGTTTGAAAGACCTTGCCAGGAGATCCCAAGTCAACGTTACTACCATTTTTTTTTCTTTTTTGTGTGTCTTTTAAAAGTTGGAAGCCTTAAAAATCGTCACTCTTTGATCCACTTAAATGTGTGTCAGGGGACCGACTGATATCTACCAGCAAAGCAATCCACTTGGAGAATAAACATAGTAAACACCATTTTTTAATGTGTTTTAAAAATCAGATTTTGCTATAAAAAATGAAAAGCTCATAATTTCAAAGAAATACTGCCCGATTATTTTCAGTGCAATTTATAGCACTATAAACAATTTATATACCTGTAATTGTTAGTGCTGTTAATGTTGCCTTGCCAATTATCTTGATGTAAAATTAACAGATAAAAACCTTAAGGTCAAAATACTTGAACCACATCTGATTATGTCATATAAACTCAGATCTCAAGGGTTTCTGGTTATGAAAATACTTTTACTAGTCACTGTTATAAATTACTTTATCATTTTAGTTAATATCCTTCCACAGCATAGGACTCACAAGATTAAATTGGTTAAGTTTGGCCTTCACGTTAAGTACATCTCAGCATCTCTGTCTATAAAAATCAAATGTACTTACAACATAAAGGTCTATCCACAAAGAGCCAGAGTGAAGGGGTAAGTGGAGTCATTAGCCACTAAATTATGTTATAAATTTATTACTGTTTATTAGCAAATAAAACCCCTCTTCAGTGTAGGTTTCAAAAAAAGAATCATCCAGATATTGCTTCAACCTTCTATGTTACCTTGGTCATGTCTATTCTCTGTTCCCAGTTTCAGGAAGAGTTTAAAAATAGTCACCTTTCTTCTTTTAAACAACTAATTAGATTCCCCTGAACCACTAGCTAATTGTTTTAAAGAAATGATGGTTATCATGAGAGTCCATTGTTTGAGTTTTTACTTTACAAACTCCTCTGTCTGTTAAGATCCTTTTCACCAAAGCACAAATGGTGAGTATGGGTTTGAGTTCTCTCACTCTCTCTCTCACTCTCTTTCTCTCTTTTTTATTTTTTTTTTTCCATTTTAGTTGGCTCTAACTTAGTTATTGGAATAATTCAGGCTTTTTGGAATTTTCACAAATTCTAATTTAAGAACTGGGGCATGGTGCAGGATGAGTAAGTCCTAGCGATCTGCTGTACAACATTGTGCCTATAGATAAATCCTGTTTGGTGCACTTAAAAATCTGTTAGGACGGTAGCTCTCATGTTAAGTGTTCTTACCACAATAAAGTAAAATTTAAAAACAATTGGGTGCATTATGCACTTAGTGCATTATGCACTTAATTAGTAATTACTAATTAATGTTTTTTCCCTTTGAAACAAGCACAGTTTTCTCTCCTCCCAGGAGAAATAAACACGCACACACTCAAACAGGGGAAGTAGAGGAAGAAAAATATTTTTCTCAAGACAGCAGTATGTATGCGATTTAGCACAACCTAAATAAAGCATCAACACTTTGAGATTGCCACATGATGTATAATATCTGATAGATAAGGAAATTAGAATTTGAACCTTCTTTTAGAAAGGAAATTCATTGATGATCTTCGAAATGCCCCCAATATAAAGGTCTTGAAGAGTATTGGCAAATAGCAAACTGATTTAGGCTTTTCTATTTTTATGCACCCCCCAAAATATATTTTAATCAATATTTTTTCTGAAAAGGATCAGTCATGGTTAATTATTTGATCATGGGTAGAAACCAAAGACTAGACTGGGTGTGTAAGGGCCAGATTCAGTGCATAGGAATTTAAATCAGTAAGTCAGTTTTATTCGAAAATGTTCTCTGACAGCACATAGTACTTAACTTCCTCCTGGTGTGACTTCAGGGTCTGTAAGAGAGAATGGCAGATTTATAAATGTTTTATTGAATTAAATTCCCAAATTGTAAGAATTAGTGATTTGTAATTCACAGCCAGCCATAAACTGACCTGGAGTCACTTCCCCAGTCCCTAAGGGCAAGGGGCTGTTTCCACATCAAAAGGAATTATTCAAGGTTATTCTTGAGAAACACAAACTAGGCTCAAAGCTAACATCAGAATCTTCATTTGCAGCCCTTGGCTCCCCGACCAAGGCTTTTTTCCTTTTGAGGGTTCAATGTATTTCTGAATAGTGGAAAGGTAAAGCAGTTACCTTAGACCGACTGTTTATATGACAGCTTATATGTCAACAGTCAGACCAAATGATCTTCAAGATGCATGCATTGGTGAACTCTCTTGATGGGTCTGCCATATATTACAGCCTATTTTGACTGTTTATAAACAAGTCTCATATTACCTACTCCTGTTTTCTCCTGAAAAGATGTTTCCTGAATATTTATAAGAAGCATGTGTCCCAGAGAAAGAGGATAGTTGGAAAAGACTTCCCTTAATTTCTCGAAGTCTTTCGGCAGAGAAAAAGCTTCAAGGACAGCATCAAAAGAATATCCCAGTCACCCCACTGCTTTTGCAAAGCGAAAATAACTATAAAGCTCTTGGAGGAGTTGCTTCTTACTACCACTTAAAATGAATACCTGTGTTAATTAACTTTGGAATCTTTTGATCAGTGTTCTTATATCAGTTATTGTAAAGCTATTTTTTATGTGAACTGGTAATTATGGGGTTAGTTTTAGAAGTAAAGCTCCTAACCCCAACCTGAGCCAACTGCTGCTAGAACTTACATAAAATAATTAAAAATAAAACTCTTTCTTAAAAATACATCAATTCGACCATTTAACCGCTATTAGATGTTTAAGGAACCTGTAAATTCTTTTATATCACTAGGAAGCTTTTCTCTTTGTTCCTCTAAAGTTATATGGGCATAAAAATCAGCTTAGGTAGTCAGTGGCTTTCAGACATACTACCCTGAAGTTATTTTTATTATCCAATAATGAATGAATACATTTGTATAAATTCAGCTGCTGATGAAAAGCTGACTCATCAAAGACTATCACAGTCCTTCCTGCCAGCAGCCAGGGTTTGCTGAAGATACAAATGCCATCAAGTATTTTGGTTAACCGATTGGCCCCACGATCACATGTCTTTCCTGTTACCAACACCCACCCCAGCAGCCCTCTGTCCCTGGTTACTGTTACTGATTTTCAATTAAATAGGCCAGAAGTGATTATTTGCAAACGATTGATTTTTCTTCCCTTTTTTCTTAAATTTATGCTTCATGAATTCTCTTACATAATTTGACATGAAACTATGAGTTCTTTTTTCTTTTTTTTTAAGAAACTTCCACTGGAATGTCACTGGAAGTACAGACTATAAAAAAATACATCAACCTAAAAGAGCTCAATTTTGAAGATCCGAGAATACAGAGATATTTCTGTATATATTTTCACAGATTATCATCTGTGAAAGACAATTAGTTGTACAGCTCAGAAAATTGAGCACAATATGGGCTATGGATCCCAGACACACTGGGCAGGGAGTGTCTGTTATTTACCCCAGTGGACTCATCAGAGCAAAATATACTTTAAATCGTGCATCTTAGAGGAATGTGTTTTATAAAAGTAGATTTCAAAGAAAAAAAAAACACGTGGAAGTTAATTCATCAAGTTGGTGATAATTTAGACCAATGAACCTCCAGTAAGTATTCAACATCGTACTGGCTTCTTGAATATTCTACTGGTCATTCTGAGGGAGTTTGGGGTGAGGGTGGGTGGAATGCCAGCCTGCAAAGCAAAACGTTATACCTGTGTTGTGCTATTATGTATAGAATAATCTCTCTTTCTTTTTCCTTTAAATTTGTTTTCCTCTTGCTTCCCAGAGGATTGTGTGGAGGACAATGCAACATAGTGTAAGCTTTGGTCTTCTTTTTTCTTACTCTCATCCTCATTTGTCTTCATATAGTCATTTCAGAGAGTTCTCGAGAAATTCTACCTCTACTTTCCCTTTCCAGACTGTCTAGAGCGTGTTGAACACTGCACATGCCGACAGGGTTAGCGGCTTCCTCTCTGTTTGGTATTTATGGTTAACAGCCATTTTGGTATTCTTTCCCAATGGCAAGGTTTTCAATCTAGGCTTTGTGTTAGACTAACTCATTTGGTGGCTGATTTAAATTCTATCCCAATGTTCAGACTATGTGTAGTCTGCCTGAAAAATTAGCTCTTCCCTGATAGAATATATTGGCTTTTTCCTTCTTGTGCTGAGCGAATAATTACCTCGCTAATAATAACAACCAAACAACATCAGCTCTCATGCGTAAGGAGCTAATTTTTCCATTAGTGAGGACAGAGAATTTAGGGGGTTAAGAAATAGTCTGTGGTATAGGTTGTTTACTCTTTTTTTTTTTTTCTTCCTTCTTGAATTTACTGATGTCTCGTAGAGCATTCAGGGAGGGCACCCTGGATATTTTTTACTACAAAGTGGTTTGTGTTGGGGCTGAGGATGGCACACCCAGGTTATCTTAACCTGACTTTATATATTAACCATAATAATCAGATAGTTAGCCACCTGGGTGGCTCAGTTGGTTGAGCGACTGCCTTCGGCTCAGGTCATGATCCTGGAGTCCCGGGATCGAGTCCCACATCGGGCTCCCTGCTCAGCGGGGAGTCTGCTTCTCCCTCTGACCCTCTTCCCTCTCATGCTCTCTATCTCTCATTCTCTC